TATATATATCTTTTTTTTAATTTTAATCCTTTTAAACCAAAGTGGTTTTGTCATCTAACGTTTAATTAACATCTAGACAAAGCAAAAATGATCTAAAAGAATAACCTGGACATTGAAATATTATTGATATTTAAGTTTTTTGTTGACCACATTGAACATTTCTAGTATTCACTGATTCCTTAAGTATAAAAGTATAATAAATATGACACACAAGGTTTCCAGAGACAAAATTTTATTGGTGAAAAAAATTAATGGATAAAAGCTTTAAAATCTTAATAACTTCTGTACTTCTTAAAACAATGTTTATCATTACTTTTGCCAATAAAGGAATGTAAACTCCATAAATTTAAGAATAAACATATGTATGAGGCCTGTGTAGTCATTGCATTTGCTACATTTTAAATCAAATTATAAATGGCTAATGACATTTTGCCTTATTTTTGGTTGCATGCTAAACAATCTTTTCTTCTGACAAGGTTTATTTTTTTTAAGCAACATGTCGAAGCCACAGCTTTCCCGTTTTCCTAGTTATACAGAATTCACATCTGTCCATTTTAAACATGAAGCTTTGTGTAAAAGTCTTCATAACGAAGTATCTTGGCAGAAAAGGAGCTTTCAAAAGCTCAAATTGCATCAGATTTTTAAGTAATTCCAAATTGCCTAGCTTTCTAACTTTTTTCTTTATTTCTATGAAGATTGTTTCCTGTATTTAATCATAAATTCCAAGTTTTCTCATATAACATGGTGTTTACAAACTTAGGAAGTGATTCCAGCCTATCTACTTCTCTCTGTCTGCTTTCTGTCCAACCTACTCCTCATTGCTCATTATACCTTCTGGTGTTCAGTAAACACTGCAGTGCTATCTGTAGTACACTTCGTCTCAGATTAGGTCTACTGTACATTCTCAGTTGTTATCTCACTTTACCAGGATATAGGACAGCCTTCTGAGTTTTGGACTTACTAAGATTTTGTACTCGTGTATGTATTTAGTGCCTTGTAAAACTGTTGAGACCACTCGAACGACTTATTGTTCTGTCATCCGTGGGCCTTCGTTTTCAGGCGGACTTTGACTGGGCCATTGCAACATATGAATTTATTGCAATATGTTCTAATATAATCTATAGCATCTCCATTGCATGTTTCAGGCTTCTTTCCTGCCGGAAGGCGGATATTGGTTTCCATGGAAATGGCTGTGTAGAACTTTCCAGACTGATAGATGTCAATGGATTCCTTATAAGGGAATAATATGTTGCTTTTTTGTGCTTTTAGCCTAATTCATGCTGTTGTAAAGATTATGTTTGTGCGATTTCTTAATCCTGACAGTCTGTTAGACATTTACAAGTTTGCTCACATGGTACAGGTTGCTAAATAAAACCTCCTTCAAATGCTGTGCAACGATGTTCTCATCATATGGACCTGACATGATCCACCCGTGTGACAATATGTGAGGGTATCCTAGCTTATTTCTCACTATAAGAAGGCTTTCTTTTTTTATTACATTTTGCAAAAAATTCTAAAAGGTATTTTCTTTAGCTCCTTTTAGTATTTATATTATTTGGATTTCTGAGTATGGTTTACATATCCGTATGTCCTAGCATGTAAGAAAAACACACTCTTGTATTGTTTTAGCTACCGCATTACCCCTGTAGGTAAAAGGTGGATAAAACTGAGTTGGTTGTTTTTTTGTCAAGTCACCACCGATGAGCTCATCGCTCGCCCACGTCGGGTCACTGAAAGTTCAAAGCAGTGTGACACAACCTTGCTTAGAAGTGGATCATAAACCTGACAGAGCAATACGAGTATAAATGCGGCTTTAATTTCTGAGAACATTTGTTCAACAATCACAGCCTGATCTTGGTGTTGATGACCTTGTCCAAACAGAGCCTGGAATCGGCCGTATTTGCCGTGAGGTGAAGCGTGGAGTCATGTTCCTCTTCGTCGTGCACACAACAGAGCCGGGAGTCCACCGACCCAGTGGGAAAAATAACTGGAGGAAGTAAAGTTAACACAAGTCAGGTCTCAGGGGGGAAAGTTTTAGAAGAAGAGCAAGCTGGGTTACCGGGACTTTATATGTTTAAAATTAGGGCTGTTGTAAACGAATATTTTAGTAATCGAGTAATCTATCGATTATTCTTACGATTAATCGAGTAATCGGATAAAAAAAAAAATTATAAAATGAAATATTGGTAAATCTGGCATAATACCGGTGTTACTATCAGAT